TGGTCTAGTCTTTTTGGAGGGTTGAATGTACTTGATTGTTGAAAGTACGGACCTCAGCGCAGGCCACCATGGGCTACATCACTCCGGAGCCATTTGTCAGCATTGCAAGATAGAAACCAAGCGGCCCACCTCCGGACCGCTAATCCAAACACCTTAACATCATTATCAGCATTGCAAGATACGAGGCACGTCCTACGGCCGGTTCGGGTGACGACACGTACTGATCCCGCAGGTTCAAAGGTGCACAGTGGTGGTGCCGTGGGACACCTTAAGCGAAGGGTTGACAGGCTTGAAAAAAACACGCACTTGGCGTTGGAACATGGCAGTAAGGTGGAGGAGGTTTTCTCGGCTGTCGAAGCTAGCCGAGAGTTTAGGAAGCTGTCCCAAGACACGGCAGTTGCGATCCTCCAGGAGATCAATCTGCTAACTGGTCTTCCTGCCCCACTACCCGAAATCCCCCCAGAAACGTTCCTCGCCCAGTCGGATGAGAACTCCAAGCTTGAACTTGACGCCCTGGCTTCATGGTATGAGTTTGGACCGGCCCTTCTTAGCTGTGTGCGTTTTGTGCTACCGAAGACGTCGAGGAAGACACGTGATCCGCTCACGCATGAATGGAGCCGCCGCAGTAAAGGGCACTTCCTTGTCCGTCTAGAATTCGGGGAGGGCTCATGTGCGTCCAGAAGTGCCGCCAGGGCATGTTGGGGTCATATAGTTACAAGGCGGTCAAGAAAGTTAGGGAGCGCGGCGAATCGGCCTTTAACCTATACCTGGACAAAATACCGGAGGAGATGGAGCGAAAGCAGCGGAGGCTTGGCGTGAACCCCCAAGCGTCAGGTAGGGGCAAGGGTCTCTCGACTACAAAGGGTGGTTGTGGCAGAGGCAAGGGGAAGGGGGGCAGGGGACCGGGTCCCCCTGAGGGGGGCCACTGAGTGGCTCGACAACACGCTGCTTTACCGCTGCGTTTCACGGGGGCTGTAAGCGGGGAGACGCTGTGGTTGAGAATCGCCGGGTGCTGTAAGCCTCCAATCATGTGCCCTCCTTTTTGGATGGAGGAAGTGCACAGTATCCTAACCTTGAAACATCACGAAACTGGACTTGTAATGCATGTTCCTGAGGGTAGGCTGCTTGGTTCATTTGAAGCGGCTTTCTTGTTGTTCGTGGGCGACAGATGTCGCAGCTGAGTAAACACCCACCTGACTGACTGACTGACTGACTGACTGACTGACTGACTGACTGACTGACTGACTGACTGACTGACGTAAATGTGGCGTGCGGGTCGGGAGGCTGTAGCAGGCCAAGAGGCAGAGGCGTGGCCTGAAAGTTGGAAACAGGGGGTAAAAAGGTGAAATCAACATGGAGGGGGATTACAATGTTGAGTGTGGGGTCAAAGCTGTTAGCACGTGTAGTAGCACTCCGATTGCAGCGTTGGAGAAATGCCTGGTGGCCCGAAGCACAGATGGGATTTCGCAGAACCGCTCAGTTGATGAAGCATTGCAGGTCTCTCACAGATTGGCAGAGGAGGGTGCGTGCAGCCCGCTTTACTGAAGTATTCTTCATAAAGTTTCTTCATATTGAAAAAGCGTACCCTCGGGCAAGCAGGGACACGCTCTGGCGGCTAATGAAGCGTAAAGGCGCGCCCGATACCTTTATTCGTATATGCCAAGCTCCGCACGAGCATACCACTTAACTGGCACGAATCCACGGAGGCCTGTCCGCCAGCTATGAGGTGGACAAGGAAGGGTCTAAGAGAGGGGTGCCGGCTGTTATGCAGGACTATAGGGCACGAAGGTTGGTGGGGGCAGAAGTTAGAGGGCAGCAGCCGGGGTTACCTTGGACTACTAGGTTGACGGGCGCTTGGGGCATGGATACCACAGTCGTCAGCATCTAACGCGAAAAAGTAGGGAAGATTGCGTCGGAGATTATCGGGTTTGCAGATGATACCACGTTGGTAGGGGAAGGCTGAGGACATGCGATACACGGAACCCCTGCTGGAGCAAACCGTGCGGGGTTGGAAGGAAAAGGTACGCCCAGGGAAAACGGAGGGGCTGCGGTTGCAGAGTTGGACACGGGCAGAAATGGAAGTACGCTTGAAGGGGGAACATGCAGGTGGTGGTGTGTCACGTTGGTGGTCTGCTTCAGGAAACGGGCGGGGCGGGTCGCGATACCACGTATAAGGTGTGCAGAGCCCGCCGCAAAATCGCTCAACTGGCCAAAGCATGGACATTTGGGGCCCGAAATCAGCAACACAAAATGCCGTTCTCAGTACGCGTTCAGGTCATGAAGGCGGTGGCTATGCCAACACTGACGTGCTTTGGAAGGTCTCGGGTGTGGAACCGTGAACATATTGCAAGGTTTCAACGGGTAATCAACTATTAGGTGCGCAGATGCTTCCAAGTGCGGAAGCAATGGATGCATGACTTCCATGTTAACAGCCGAATGCTATGCGATGCGGCGCAGTGGGAGCCGTTCGAGTTTACAATTGCTTGTCAAGTTTGTTTTGGCTGGGTCACGTGGCACGTGTGGGCAATGAGCGTCTTCCTAAGCGAGCGTTCTTTGGCTGGTGGCAGGCTCATCTGGCTAAGATGCGTCCTCCCATGCGTCTGCAGCAATGGCTACAGTACCGTGTAGCCCAAGTACAAGCTACTGAGTTGGATTGGTGCCGGCTTGCGCAGGGCCGGCAGGAATGGAGAGGAGGCGTCTGGGCACAGGTTTTTCGTCATGGAGCGCTTGATGCTCACGGACTTCTTTCGTTGTCTTCGCGGGCATTGTGCAGCTTTGCAAGGAGATCTTCGTATCTCATGTGCTCGCTTGGCTGCTTATGTGGCCTGTTGGGGTCTTCGGGCCCATTTTGTCGTGGAGGTCTTCGTATCTCTTGCCATTGTTGGCTTTCCTTTGTGTACAGGAGGGCTTTTCGCCCATTTTTGTCTCGCGCAGATGACTGTGTGCCGCATCATTCCCTTGAGTTTCGCTGATACTCAGGATTCTTGTACAGTCGCATGGGCCTCTGTGTTGGGTACCTCGGCGAGGGGGTTGACCGCAGTCTTCTCCCGCATGATTGGAACAACTTCTGGGATCCCGCGGGGTTGACGGTTTTTTCGCCAACAAATTCAAAGCGGCGAACGGGGTCCTTCAGGGGTGCCCGTTAAGAATGTTATTGCTGGTTTCCATGGTGACGACCTGGTTGGAGGCAGTCCGCAACAGTGTGCCCACCGCAACACCTAAATTAAATCATTTGCAGATGATGTGTCAGTGGCTGATCAAAACGAAAGCGGGGAGCAAGTCAAACACAATCTTCGCCTGCTACATGACACCACGTTCACTTTCACTCAGGTAACCGGTGTGCAGATCAACAATGACAAGAGTTTCGTTTTTGGTCCCAAACGTGTGCAGGGAGCTGTCCCCAACTTGCCCAATTACAAGCACACATTTCGCCTGGTGGGAGGAAGCGTGAAGCTATCTGCAGGGCAAAGCTGGACTCCGCTTGAACGAGAACGTGGCGACCGCTGGGTACAAACAGTCAGACAGGTGCGACGACTCCCTGTTGGCTGGTTCGCCAAGGTCAAGATTCTTCGCAGTATACTGTTCCTAAGCTGACCTTTGGACAAGGCACGCGCACACTTCCTGTAGCCAGGGACTATATGCGTCACCTTCGTGCAGAGATGGTTCGCTCCCTGTTCAACATGAATGATTACTCGTTGTCTCCTCAAATGGTTTTTACATTATTGGCTCCTCCTGCTTTGGAACCGGCATTTGCTATGCAACTGGCAGCCTTCCGTCTGGTACAGCGGGTGTACAGTACACCCCAGTCACGACGAACTTTGGTTCAGCGGCTCGCCAGTGCTCGCCAGGAACCTCCTTCTGATGGCCCTCTGGCACAGATACTACAGCTTGAGGCGCTGCCGCCTTTCAGACCAATAGTCGCGGACTTTTTGCGCAACAGGCTGAAGAGCGACAAACGGCAGCATGACCTACGAGAAATATGGAGGGAACAAACGTGGAGAACTCTTGCTCGCGAGTGTGCCCAACATTTTGCTGGAGCCGAGGGGAGTCAACAGGAAGGCAACTTTGGCCTATTTGCAGGATTGGACAGCAGAGGCGGGCGCACTGCAGATTCAACAGGACAGTGGACAACATGAGCTTGTGCCTCCCTCCGAGGATCCCCGAGCCAAGTTGAAGGTGTTTCGCTTGTTATCAACTGCGGGTCTGATGACGCCTGGGAGGGACCAAGTTCGAGCAGCGCAGCGCTCGTTGGTTGCGGTCTGGCAGGCCCACATAGCGGCCTTTGGTGATGGTGTCCAGTGTCCAAGAGCTTGCTGAGATAATCTCTGTGGCACCGAGTACTCAACCCGCAGGGCAGCAGCAGCGAGATGCAGGCAGTCCTGTGTTCATGACGCTCACGAAGCAGCCAGCCGATCGGAGAGGACACGCGCTCAAGTTGATCCCCTCAGGGGGCGTCTACTGCCAGAAATGTGGAAAACAAACCAAGAACATCAAGCATCAAAGGTTGAAGATTTTGAACAAAAAATGCGCTTTTCCAGACCTCCTGTACAGGAATGGCTGAAGCAATGGCCACAAGCTAGTCTGGAATAGGATGGTAGGGAAGCAAGCGGGTCGTGAGGACTACGGCAAGCTTTGGTGCTCAGTTTGTGGGAAGGAGTGTCAGCAAAGTACGTTGTAGACCGCTGCCTAATGCTCCAGATTCACCAGAGTGGGTCCGCGCCCTCAGCCTTGAGCATCAGAGCACACCGCAACAGGAAACCGCGCAACAGCATCACAACACCCCCCCCTCTTGCGTGAGAACATGCACCAAGCGCAGTTTCAACGCAAGTTTCCAGGCACAGGACTGGTGCTTCCAGTTCGTCGCAGGATCGTGGGCAAACGCCCAGCAGGAAATGCACAGCAATTGCTGCAGCAGCAGCAGCAGCAGCAGCAGCACAACAGCATGCCTGACACGGAGGTGAGAATATCAGATGCGCTCACTGCCCGGCAAGGCACTAGTTGATGAGACTCAGGTGGTTGGCAGGGCTGTGGCGGCATGCTACAGCGCTACTACAAGCCACTACTACTTCTGAGATCCCGCGGGGTGTCTTGGCCATCATTGATGTAGCTAGAGAGCGCCTGTGAGGGCGGCTGAAGGCGCATAAGCTCCCAACTTAGTTGTGCAACATTTTGATTGGTTGATATTGGAGAACCAAATTGAAAAGTACCAGCAAAACAAAACGGAAACTTGGATTATCCACATCTTCAGGCCACCATGGGCTACATCACTCCGGAGCCACACGGCCGAACAAAAGGAAGGCGACCGTGCGGGCGAACCTCCACGTGGTGGTCGCTGGGTGACACACTTGCGCATAAAATTGCTTAGCGGCTTGGAATGCACTTACACGTCGGAACGGGTAAAGAAGACAACACGGGGGACAGATGGTCCGCGACACATGTCTGAATTTGGGTTCGATGGCATTTGGAGGGGCAAAGGTGTCAGCTAATCCCTCGCCTCTGGCTGTTCGCTACTTTGATCGGGTTTGAGGTCGTGGGGTGGTGGTGGTGTGGGGCAGCGACGGGATGCCCGCAAGTCTCGCGGTAACCTCAGTTGAGCTTTTGACTTGGGCAGGTGTTGGGGCCCGGAAGCTTTTGCGGAAGGGGGCCGCCTGTCTGCTGCCGAGGTTTATCGCTCCGGACTGTTGAAAGGGTGGGCAGTCGGGATAGGTTTTCGGTGCAACGGTGATGATTGGGAGATGATTGATGGGCGGGTGCTGGATGGCGGGAAACCATAGATTTCGGAGAAGAGCAACACGGAATAGAGCGATACTTCATCGGTGGGTGGCTCGGCGTCAGGAATACTTAAGACGACTACGACAAGCACGTCATTGGAAAATTGGGGCATGGAATGTACGCAAGTGGGGCGCTACTTAGGTGCCTTATGATCCCTGGACAAAAACTCAGTGCTTACTGGGGTTGGCAAATAAACGAGGGTGGGACGCAGTCCTTTTGTCCGATGTAAAATTCGAGAGTGACGGAGTGAAAACAGTTCAGTTGGATAACGAGCATATTTAGACAGTCATTGTATCGGGTAGAGTGGCGGTGGCGCTAACGGGCAGTTTGGCGGAGGCTTGGCTAGTAAATGGGGTGAGCTGCTCGCCCAAGCGAACGGAAGGCAGGGCATTACTTATCAGAATTCCGGGACAGGGACATCACGCAGGGTTGGCATTGATCTCAGTGTACGCGCCTACTACTGACGCCCCGATTTGAAGAAAGCGGGACTTTTGGGATCAGGTACGAACAGCAAAGCGGGGCTCACATGCCCGGGATATCCTGACAACCGGGGGGAGATTTTAATGCAGATTTTGACGTGACTCGGCAGCGGGACATTGGACCTGAAGTTGTTGGCAGATAGGGGGGGGGCAACGATAATAGTAATGGTCCTGCAATGCTAGAATTCTGTGAACAGGAGGCCCTGTCTGTGGCGGATACGCTGTATCCCCAACCAATTCGTAAACGTTACACGTGGTGGCACCCAAGTAGGCAATCGGGACACACTATCGATCATTTCTTAGTTAGGCAATCACAGAAGCGCTTCCTAGACTCAGTTCGCACGGTACACCAAAGGGGAGGCGCGGAAATGCTGGGGATCCGTTGCATCGGGTCCGCTTTCGTCACGGCGGCTGGGTTTGGGAGTATACGGATTATTGGGATGACTACACCGACCATCTCCCCATCGAGCTTCGATTTCATTTTTGGCCGCGCTGGGAAAGGCAGGGCGTTAACGGGGGGGGCGGTCAGGACGCAGGTTGCACCACAGCCATACGTCAGTTTGCTAACTGCACCTGGAGAAGTGGCAAAGAGAAAAAGGTCCGAGTGGTGGGCGGCGCTAAATGCTAATATGAGGGCATTGGGAAGTGAGGATCGCGTGTTGGAATGGCAGGAGATTGTTCAGGTGTGCGTGAATACGAGTATTCAGGTGTTGGGGACGGCGCCGGTGGGCAGACAACAGCCACATCTGCGCGGACACCAAGCAGAGAATCGGGAATTGGATCAGGAGGTAGCTAACGCGTTGGCATACAGACGTAGCTTCAGGGGGGGCGCGGAACCTCGATCTCAACAGCGCCATCGAGAATATGAGGAAGCGTGTAGATTGGCCAGGGCGGCGTCGCAGAGACGCAAGCTTACTCGTAGACAATGGGGATGGGAATGGGTGGACAACCTAACGGCGGAACTCGTTTTCGCAAGATTCAGGAGGGCAGGGAAATTGCGGATGATCGAGTCTGGGAAAATGTATCAGGGGATCGCGCGGCGCACTAGATGGTGGACACACCCAGCGAGGCAGAGATACGGGCTTGCGGAACGAAGATGAAAAGCGGCAAAGCCGCTGGGGTGGATGGGTTCCTCGCAGAGTTTTATAAGGTCGGTAGTGAGGAGTTGCAGGCTCAACTTCACGGCGTAGGGCAATGTATGTGAGTACAGGCTAGGGACTCGAGAAACGGACTGGAAGCTCGCGAGTGGCCAGAGTTATGGAATAAGGGTTTAGTGATCCCGTTATGGAAAAAATATAAGGGGGACAAGAGTGACAAAACCACATGGCGAGGGGTAACATTGCTCAGTGTTGGCTCCAAGTTGTTGGCGCGGGTGGTGGCGGACCGGACTCAAAAATGGAGTGAAGCATGGTTGCACGAAGCCCAGGCGGGCTTGAGGAAGGGACGGGGAGTGGGAGGAGGCAACCTCTAGTCAACCGGATGATGCTGTCATTTTGATTCGGTTATTCGATATCGAAAAAGCTTACCCCCGGGTGAGCAAGGATACTTTATGGAAACTGATGAGTATTAAGGGAGCTCCGGAGAGTTTTATTAAAATATGTCAGGGGCTGCATGAGTTGACCAGGTACGCGGTTCGGATCCATGGGGGAGTGTCTTCGGAGTATGAGGCTGATAAGGGACTCCGAGAGGGGTGCCCCAGTAGCCCGCCGTTCTTTAATTTGTATCATCAAGGAGTTATGGAGGATTTTAGAATCAGGCGGCGACAACTAGCGCAGCAAACGGGGCACAAGCCGGGGATACAGTGGGTGGTCAAAGCGGATGGTCGTATTGACCATGGGGTTCATAGCCGGGAACACCTGCGTAACAAAGCGGTAACGGTTACACTGGCGGATGTGGGCTTTGCGGATGACACATGTCTGATGGGAGAAGCGGAAGAAATGAGGGGAGCGGAACAGCTATTGGAGAACTCTATGAAGGATTGGAGGGAAAAAGTTCACCCTGGAAAGACTGAAGGATTGCGGCTATCAGCCAGGGGACGGGCGCCGTTCGATGTTAGGGATAAAGGAGAGGACGCGGTGGTCCGGCATGTAGGAGGTCGCCTGATGGAAACAGGGGGGCAGCAATCTGATACTAGCCGACGGCGATCTTCTGGGTTCCATAAAATCGCAAAAACCGCAAGGTCTTGGCAGTTCGGCGCTCGTTCCCAGCAAAGAAAAATGCCGCGTAGTATTCGGGTCAAGATTATGAAAGCAGTTTTAATGCCCACCTTAACATGTTTTGGCAGGTCACGCTCATGGACAAGAGATAGTGTGAAGAGCACGCAACAAGTCATCAACCACGCCGTTCGCAGATGCCTAAATGTGCGTCACAGGTGGAAAAGGGCTCACCACGTTAAATCTGTAGACTTAAACGAATTAGTACAATGGGAACCTTTCCTACACACGATTGCTCGTCAAAACCTGTTCTGGCTTGGTCACTTGGCAAGGATGCAGGTTCAGCGGCTACCCAAGCAGGCAGCAGCAGGTTTTTGGGAGGGACATAAAATTAGGGTGAACCCAGCTCAGCGACAGGGGCAATGGTTCAAATTTTTGTTGGCTCAAATTCAGGTATCACAGCTCGATTGGTTCAGGCTGGGGGACGGAGCTCCAAGGATTAATGAAAGACAGTTTGAATGCCACACTCGCAAACGACAGAGGGTTATGGAGTGGGATCAGGAAACGGGTTTGTTTCAGTGCCCACGATGTGAACAGGGTTTCCCAAAGTCTAACGGTCTCAAGGCGCACTATGAGGACTTGCACGGGGTAGCCGACCCTACAAAAATGACGGTTCAAATGTACACGTGTGAGTTTTGTCAACAAACTTGGAGGGTTGAGAGTCACCGTAGGGAACACGTTTGCCCGGTCAACCCGCGGCTTCGAGGACCTCCCAAAGTGCATCCGGTCGCTAACTGCAGGAAATATGGGATTCAGGTGATAGTTCCTAACCTAGAGAGACATGAGGATGTATGCAGGGGGCCGGGCGCGGCAAATAGAACATGCAATCGTTGTGGGAAGGTGTTAGGGTCTGTTCAGGCCCGGAAAAATCACGAAGCCAGGTCAAATTGCTGACTTGCCAGCAATATCGTCGAGGACGTTCGGGGAAGGTGGGTTGGGGTGGGGGCGGGAGTGTTTTTTGACGGGATTGGGTGTTTGGGGTGTTGCGGAGGGTCTGGTGTTGTTGTGTTGTTGTGCAGGAACCATCACTGGGCATGTCCCAGGTGAGGCTTTCGCCGAGGCACGACCTACGGCCGGTTCGGGTGACGTCATGTACTGATCCCGCAGGTTCTCATGTGCACTGTGCTGGTGCTGTCGGGGGCGCCGGGTGGGGGGGCGGATGTGGGGGGTTTCTTGGTGGGGGGCGGGGGGGACGGAGGGTCGTTCGTTTTTTTGGTGTTGAAATCGGGTAGAGATTTTTTCGGCCAGGACACATGTGGTAGAATTTCGTTGTCGCAGCCAGTTTTCAGCTCAAACACGGAGCAGTCGGATAGACATGTCGGACCGAAAAAGAAAGAGTGAAACAAAGAAACTGGAAGCGTTGGAGTTGGAAGTCAAGGCCGTTCGGGCCTACACGGAACGTGAAGTGGGAAACTTGAAGAGGCGTGTGGATAGGATTGAAAAAAGCACTCATCTGGTGGTGGACTTCAGCAGTAAGATTGAGGAGCTGTATTCGGGGGCGGAGGCGAGCAGAGAGTTTAGGAAGTTGGCCCAGGATACGGCAATGGCCATACTTAGGGAACTGAATGTGCTTACAGGTCTGCCCACACCGATCCCCCAAATCCCCCCTCAGACCTTCCATGCCCAATCTGATGAGAACTCCAGGATCGATTTAGAAGCACTCATCTCATGGTATGAGTTCGCCTTGCTTTCCTGTGTGCGTTTCGTACTCCCGAACAGGGCAAGGAAGACACGTGACCCTGTTACCCAGGAATGGACACGTGGTAAGGGTCACTTTATGGTCCGCCTTGAATTTGGGGAAGGGTCGCTCTGTGTCCAGAAATGTTTACAGGGAACGTTGGGGGCGTATATCTACCAGGCGGTTAAGAGGGTGAGGGAGCAAGGTGAGTCTGCCTTTAACTTGTACCTTGGACAAGATACCTGAGGAAATTGAGCAAGCAGCGGAGACTTGGCATGAGCCCTCTAGAGTCAGGTCGGGGAAAGGGTCTATCGTCTACTAAGGGTGGTCGTGGTAGGGGGAAGGGGAAGGGGGGTAGGGGACGAGGCCCCCGGAAGGGGGCCGCTGAACGGCCCGACAACACGTTGCTTCACCGTTGCGTTTCACGGGAGCTGTAAGAGGGGAGTCGTCGTTTGTGGTACTTAGATGGGAGATGTTACCTGGAAGCTGTAAGCCACGCAGCACGCTTGCTCTTTTCTTGATTGGAGTCATTACTCAATACCCCCCGGCCCCTTAACCTTGATACCTAATTTGTAATGCTTGTGCCATGGTTTCTTCGAGATGGTTGAGGAACGGAGGGTGGGCTGCTTTGTTCACTTGATGTGGTGCCGTGTCTTTTTGGTCGTCATGGAGAGGCAGCTAAGTAAACACCCAACTGATTGACTGACTGACTGACTGACTGACTGACTGACTGACTGACTGACTGACCGAACATACGGAAGATCGAGGAATTTCAACGGGGCCTGGAGGAAGTGAAACGGGTTCAGGAAAGGCAGGGCACAACGCTGACTCAATTGACCACGCGCGTGGACCGAATGGACCGCAGTACATCCTTAGTGATTGAGTACTCAGCCGCCGTGGAACGCATCTACAAAACCGCAGAGGCCACGCGAGAATTTAAGAGAGTCGCTCGCGACTCAGCGGAAGCCTTGCTTCAGGAGTTGGCCCCGAAGATGCGCCTCCCCTACCCGCTACCCGCATGCACCCCTGGCCAGTGGAACGCTGACGATGGTAACAGACCGGCGGGGCATGTTCTTACTGCGTGGTGGGCCTTTGTACCTGAGGATTATCATGCCAAATCGCTTGCGGGCTACCTGGGACCCTAACACCCGCCAGAGAAATTGAGCTGAGGGTCACCTCGTCTTCAAACTGGAGTTCGGGGATCTGAGTTTCTCTCTGGCACGGGCTTTACAGGCTGGGTTGGGTCAACACCTGAATCAAACCAACCGTGCGGGCCGTGACGCGGGGGAAATGAACCCCACGACCATGTACATTCACAGGACCCTCGAAGAAGAGCAACGTAGAAGCAGAAGGGCGGGGCAGGAACAGCCTAAGGGAAAAGGACGTGGGGACCGGGCGGGGAGAGGCCGAGGCCGAGGCCGCGGCAAGGGCCGCCAGTAAGGAAAGAGTTCGGGTTTCACCCCCTACCTGTGTAGAGTTGCACTGTAGGTCGGCTGGGTGAGGGGGATGTAGCAATTGCCTTGCTAAGGACTTGACGGGGTAAGTAGGTTTTTAGCCGTTTCTTTATGGGTATATATAGGCGAAAGAGCGACGATACTAGTTTTCATCGAGCCGACACCTTTTAGATGTTTTTTCTTGAGCTATAGCGTAAGATGACAGTTTTCCGGAGGTGGGCCGCTTGGTTGATACTGTGCGCCTTTTTGCGTGGGTCTTGGGAACTGGGCGGCTAAACCAAATCACCTAACCATCATCATGATCAGCATTGCAAGATGGGGAGCCATCTCCGTTTCGTTTGTGGTGCGGGTGTTGTTCAAGTGCAGATGGCGGGCAGCAGTGCTGGCTACTTTGGTCAGGATCCCAGAGATACAAGCTCATCCTCTAAGGATCACCG